TGTGATCAGAGTTGGGATTGTTAAGAACAATGGAGATTTTAAAAATTGAAATGAATGCATTTTTGTATTGTGAGACAGCCATGAGCCCGTGGAGGCCTGAGGCAGAATGTGGAGGGTGAACATGAAATGTCCCCTGTAAGGTCATCTTTGAACACATGTTCCTCAGAGGGTGGCACTGCTTTCGCAAGCCTGTGAAACCTTTAGGAGGTAGAAAGGGGTGGTGGGAGCTGTTGGAAGAAGTAGGTCACCAAGGCCAGGACTTGAGTTGTGAGTCTGGCCCCATGTCCTGTCTGTCCTCTGCTTGCTGGCTGCAGAGGCACTGAGTCACATGTACTGATGATGCCACGATTTCTCTGCCATGATAAACTGCATTCCTCTTAACACGAGGAATAAAAAGGAGCCGGAATTACCCTTTCTTCACTTTGAACTGCTTCTTGTCAGGTATTTGGTCACAACTACTGGGAAAATAATTAATATAACCAGGATTTCCCAATGTCCCAGTTTTTGGTTCCTTCTCTGGTGTGGCTATTTCTACCATGGGTTCTTGAATTCTGCTTTAGAATAGCACCATTTGCTTTATTGGTATATCTACAACCCAGGATGGTGACATATTTGGTGATATATTCTATCTGGTATATGGCAACATGTCCTTTTGGTACTAGTCATCAATTGGATAGTTCTTGCTGTTCTTTCCACTTTTAAGAAGTAGCTGATGACTGAGTGAACTGGCTTCTCCTAGACCAGCTATTTGTAGGAGATTGTTGGGAAAGGACCCAGGCAACCTTGAACGTGTGACATTTCAATGCCTCTTCTTGCTGCCAGGAGACTGATATTTTTCTTTGTATTTCTTCTTCTCTCATACAATACATCCCAAATGCAGTTTCCTCCCTCGACTCCCCCAATCTCCCCCTCCCCACCTCCCCCAGATCCACTGCCCCTCCATTTCCCTTCAGAAAAGAGCAGGTCTCCCAGGGACACCAACAGAACGGGGCATAACAAGGTTCTTCAGCAGGGCTGCTCTGTGTTTTTATACTGTGTGGCCCTGGTTCTTCTGTCTCTCCCCCTCCCCATACTTCCTGAGAAAGACTTCTGAGCCGGCATGGAAGCTTCCTGGCTTTCAGGAACTTGGGTATTGCTGGCAAACCCTGATATCGGTCACTACAGAAACACTTTGCATTCTCTATTTTTTTCTAGCATACTGTCCCTTTAGGCCTGATCCCAGGACTGTCTTTCAGCACTTGAGAGTGGCCTTTCTCCATTAGGGAGTATATTGTTCCTGGCAGGGTTGAGATCTATTTTCCGCTGCTCCCGAAGCCCTGTCCAGCTCCCTGCTGCTTTGGGCAGCCCCTTTACATACTTGAAGCGTATTGATTTTCTTCAGTGTCCTAGTGTTGCATAAGTTCGACAGTTTCCCAGTTTCTGGTTTCCAGTTTTCTTCCCTTGTTTCCCTCCATGGTACAGATAGGGAAAACATATTCCACCGAATATAGTGGCCACGTTAAACTTACACACTTGTTTTTAATGTGTGCTTGGCTTATTCCACCCTGTTTAAGTAAGAAATGGCCTAACGCATGCAACTACAGAGAGAATCCTTTTATCACACTTCAGTCAGTATCACTTTGTGATTTTTCTCTGAGGGCTTTTAGTTTCCTGTCACAATTTTTGCAAACCATGATCTGTGCCACAGATACGTGCCTAGCTATCCTGGATCAATGGTCCCCCTGAGTTCAATGACTTCACAGTTAAATGATTTTTGAGCTCTCTTGGTTGGACACCGTTCTGAGGATAATATTTATGATCTGAATTCTTATACTTCCTGTTTGTTTTATAACCTTGCCAGTGATGACCAACTGGTGACCCTCTTTCCCACCTTTGCAGTTACAACACAAAGGTCTGCAAACCAGAGCACAAGCGTGTCTCCTAACGTTTCCTGGAGAGAGCCCCATGCGCATGCGGCCCAGGCTCACTTCTGCAATTCTAATTCTAAGAGTCTCATTATCTACCATCTGCTTTCTTAGTCTGCTCCTTCTAAAGTGTTTCTGCAATCCAGTTTTATTTATAGTATCATCATTTTTAAAGGAAGACTAAGGTATTTTCCTGTCATTTCGATTAAAAATCTATTTTCTGGAGGCACTGAAAATTGTTATGTGTGTAAAAATGAAATCCTATAAAGTGGAAAACACTAGACACATACAAACTATCTCTTGAAATCCTTTAATTTTCATGTCTTTGCTTTTCATCTATGAACCAGTCTCCAGGTATTGGAATGGGCATCACTGATTGCTATCAAATATGCATCCCCGACACGTAACAAAGCATAATTGTTCTTTTGTCACTCAACATCAAAAGGATCTTCATAGCTGATATCTTTATAGAAAAGAAACATGAATGGCCCATTGCTTCTTTAGTTTTTTCTTGTAGATATTTCTGTTTTCTTCTCTTGTATAGCTAGTAGTTCAAAACCTGAAACATGGAAATCAGCAAGAATATACTTTTACTAACAAGGTGTTGTGGCAGGGTTAAAGTTGAATATTTTTATTTAAACATTATTTTACTGATTTACAATGTGTCATATGAGAAATGACCTGAACTGTTTATTTAGAACCACGGGACTTATGCTTTAATATTCTACCACCATGGCTACATTTGGGGAATGTGGTTGTCCATTTTAATTTCATGTTTGACTAGTTTTCTCAATGGTTTTTATAATCTTCCTAAGTATAAATAGGAAACACAATGAGTTAAAGATGATCAAAGCACTGGGTGTGACGGCGCACCCCTTTGATCCCAGCACTTGGGAGGCAGAGGCAGGAGAATCTCAGTGAGTTCAAGGCCAGCCTGGTCTATAAAGCAAATTCCAGGACAGCCAGGATGGTTACACAGAGAAACCCTGTCTTGAAAAAATAAAAACAAACGAACAAACAAAAAAATCAAAGTACTTTTAAGGCGAGTAGACGAAAGTATATTCATATGAACAGGCCACAAAATCACACAATACATAGACTCCAACCAAGCCGTGTGTGAAATCATCTGACTTATCTTCAGTGTATGAGTGAATGAGTAAATCCTTGTCCTTCCCAGGTGTGTACTTCTTCACCTTCAGCATGATGAAGCACGAGGATGTGGAGGAAGTGTACGTGTACCTCATGCACAATGGCAACACAGTCTTCAGCATGTACAGGTACGTGACGCCATCAATCACAGGTCTCACGAGTGCTGCCATCACTTGAACAGAGGACGTCCATGGACAGGGAAGACCCTAATGGCAGTTCTGTTCTCCATGCGAATCCCCTAGTTGGTCAGGTTATCACACCTGTCTGGGAAGAACAGTAATGAACTTATCAAGTAGGTAAGAGACCTTGGGCAAATTACCAGCAGCACTCCTCATAATCACCACTCAGATCCTTTCTGTAACTCATTATTTCCCTTTCTATTTGGCTTCTCCTGCTTCCCTACCCACCCTTCGCCTGAAGCTTGGCACTATCAGCAGTCTTCACAGCCTCCACTGGCCGATGGAGGAAGCTAGAACAGGTCCTTTTCTTTATGCTGTGCATTACTGATACTCAACACCTGCTGGATCTTCTTGGGGTGAAACATTTTAGAAACTGCTACGTCATGCTCTGTTGTTAGCACAGCCAGCCAGCCAGCCAGCACCCCCCTGTAATTAAGCGGATTATAATCTGTCCGTGAAAAACTTTTTGGCTCTTATTTTTTCCCCTGTAATTTTTATCACTTGTCATGATCTCTGTGTTCTTCTAGAGTCTGCCCTCAATAAGAAAGGGAAAGAGACGAGTTAAAACAGGTAACATTGTTTTTAGATATCCAGGACACAGTGGCTCAGACATACCAGAAACTTAAGCAATCCAGGGCAAGGGTTCCATGATGGGGATGTAGGGTGGCAGGCGGAGTCGAAGGGAGCATTGTAAAGCGGTGGTGGTGGTGGTGGGGTCTTCCTCCTGTCTCGTTTTTGGTTTTATTTTCAGGGCTGCTGGCTGATAAAGCAGCATAGACATCATAAACTGACTTCTAAATTCTCACTGGTCCCGGTCATTTCCAGAGTCGAGAGGAAGAAAGTACAAACTGTGAACATTTTTATTTGGCATTTTTATCCAGAGAATTTAATCACTGTTGCCAGCCCTACCTAACCAACCTGAGGGCAGAAAGAAACTAGTCCAGTCCCTGGGCAGGAGGGCACTCACCACTTTTCTTGTCTCTGTGGCCATCACCTGCAAAGACGCTACTTAAGGGAGGGTTGATTGAGAGGACTCAGCCCATCACTGCAGAGACGGCATGAAAGAGTTCCTTGTGGGAGCTGTGTGTGGCAGGGCTCCTCACACCTCAGTGGTCCAGGAACGGGGAAAGCCAAGTAGGAGAATCTGGAGATAACGTGCACTCAGGGGAACACTGTTACAACCTACTTTCTCCAGTAGATCCACCTTCTAAGGATTCCACAACCTCCACAAGCATTCTCCTAGCTCGGACCAAGTGTTCAAACACACGAGCTGGTGGGGGACATTTTCTATCAAATCCAGATCAAGGAGAGAACGGACTCTGGTGGACAGCCAGCTCTCTCCGGGACCCTGGTTTCCAGATATCCACCCAGCTCTTCCTCCTTCCTATAGGACACACTTCTCTCTCCTGGTCTTTGTGGGAGATAGCCTACACCAGTTCAAACCCAGAACTCAGAGATGAATAGTTCTTTTCATAAGTCAACCCTCAGCTGGTTTTCTATTTGGCCTCTGAGTCTATCCTTTGAAGGGTCTTCTTTGTCTCCTTTTCTTCACGGTCATGTGCAAAGAGTAAGTAGTTCTTTCTGTCTGAGGGCTTTCTCATGCTCCACTTTCTCTACTGGTAGAAATCTGAGAACAAAGTCAAATATCCCAGGTCTTTGTAACCCAGGCTGAGTCTTTGGCAATGGCTTCCGTAGACACATAGAAGGCTTTTGCTCTGTTTGCTCACAGTCAGTGACATGTTAGGAATCATATCCAGTACCCTTTCTGGACAATTAGCCTGTTACCCTTGTGACTCTTTGTTGTTTTGCCATTTTCTAAACACAGTCATTAATTCCACGAGACATTTTAAAGAGTAGGTTTGGTTAGAAAGGCAACATTTTCTCTCTATGAGATAAGTAGAGTATGACTCTGAGTGAAAGTTCCTAATGGGAACACATCAGCTCTTACAGTTATAAAAGCACTTTTCTGTTTGTTTGTTTTCAACCTTGTTAGAGTCCTGATTGTCTAGACTCTATTCATCTTTCAAGTATGCCTGTTCTTCTCCACACTCATCTTTTAAAAGAAACATCTAAAATCTGTAGAGTATTTACCTCTCTTGAATCCTTTGTCTTAGGTGGTGTGTGTATACCAGGTCTATGTTACCATGCTTTTTCCAAATATCTTCCAAGCATAACACGGTGTCTTAGTCACTGTTCTATTTGCTGTAAGGAGACATCATGACCAGGGCAACTTATAAAATAAAGCATTTAATTGAGGGCTTGCTTACAGTTTCAGAGGCTAAGTCCTTGAAGATCATGTGGGGGGATGGCAACAGGCATGGCGCAGGAGCAATAGCTGAGAGCTAACATCCTGATCCACAAATTGGCAGGAAAAAGGGAAGGGAGGAGGGAGAGAGGAAGAGAGGGAGGGGGGAGAATATAGGAATATGAGACTGATTGGGTTTGTCATGAGCTTTAGAAACCTCAAAGACCCTCCTCCCCATGACACACCTCTTCCAACAAGGCCACACACATCCTAATTCTTTCTAAATGGAACAGTCCACCAACTGGGGACTAGGTATTCAAATTCATGAACCTAGAGGGGCCATTCTCATTCAAACCATCCCATATCAGTCTTTATCTTTTCAGCTCACAGTATTTATTTACACTTTGCCTCCTGCTTGTAGCAAGAATTGTTAGAAGGTCTTATTAATAGAATCAAACCTGAGGCCAGGTATTGGGGTGAAAGCTGGAAGATCAGAGAAGCAGAACAAGCCACAGCTACCTCACCTTGCCAGTTCCTCAGCTGATCCTGTTTCCTCAGACTGGAAGCCTTTGAGTCCTCACCCAGAATGGATCTCAGCTGAACTGTAGCTCAAAAGCCTAAAAGCTTAAGCAGCCAAATGCTTAACCAGCCAAATGCTTCTAGTTTCTGGTCCTCATGTCTTACATATCTTTCTGCCTTCTGCCATCACTCCCTGGAATTAAAGGCTCACTTCTTAGGATTAAAGGCATGTGTCACCATGCCTGGCTGTTTCCAATGTGGCCTTGAACTCACAGAAATCCCGAGGGATTTCTGCCTCTGGAATGTTAGGATTAAAGGTGTGTGCTACCACTGCCTATCCTCTATGTTTAATATTGTGGCTGTCCTGTTCTCTGACCCCAGACAAGTTTATTATCATGCACAATATTTTAGGGAACACAATACCACCACACCTGCTCAGCTGTTATCAAGTATGTTTTCATTTTGGTTGTTGACAATTACCTTCCTTGAATACCAAATTCCAGATTGGCAAGAAGAAAATAAACCATTGTTGTAAACAAATTCTAAATGGTTTTATTAAATAAAAATTATAGAGTCAAATATAGGGGTAAAAGCCTGAGAGAAATCAGAGGAATAGGGAAAGCCACAGCTAACCTTACCTCAACTCTACAGCTTCCAAATGCGAGTTACTTTCTATCTACCCACGCCTATATGCCTTGCTGTTCTGCCATCTGATTTGCTCTCTCTGTCCAGCTACATCACTTCCTCTTCCTGTCCAGTTCTGTCATTTCCTGTTTGTCTGCACAGACCTCCATGGTTAACTAGTGTTGGGATTTAAAGCGTGTGCCACCACACCTGGCTCTGTTTCCAGTGTGGCCTTTAACTCGGAGAGATCCCTGCCTGCCAAGTGATAGGATGAAAGGTGTGTGCTAACATTGCATAACTTTTGTGTTTACTTATAATCCTTGGTTTTTCCTCTGATCTCTAGGCAAGCTTTGTTTATTAGAGCACAAATAAAATATCACCACACACTGTAAAAAAAAAAAAAGACTCTATGTAAAGGTTCAAACATAGTAGAGCTTTCTTTCTTTCTTATCTAACAGTCCAGGGAGATTATTTTGGTAAATAATCTCAGGTGTATGTTCCCAGTCTGCATGGGAGTAAGAAAGCTCTCTTCTACATAGTAATCTTCAAGAATTTTTGAATTTACAGCTATTTACAAATGGCTTTCAAGGTCATTGCAGTAATTGCTGTTGATATTCTAGAGGCAAGAAAGAAGGAGGTTTTATTGGACAGTTCTAGAAGTGGTTCATGCTATTTCCACTTAGATGCCATTTAGAGAACTTAACGCACAACGATGACACCTAAAGCATGGAAGGTGGGAACAGAATATGCTCAGGATCTGGGTTTGCATGGCAAAGACTAAGTAGTGCATCCCTCTCCTTCTTTCCAGCTATGAAACGAAGGGGAAATCAGACACATCCAGCAACCACGCAGTGCTGAAGCTGGCCAAAGGGGATGAAGTCTGGCTGAGAATGGGCAATGGTGCCCTCCACGGGGACCACCAGCGCTTCTCCACCTTCGCAGGCTTCCTGCTCTTTGAAACTAAGTGACAGGAAGGATAGGATAGCTCCACTTTGGGGGAGACCTGTAGCTGAGCTAGGATTGTTAGGATTGGAGGGATGTTGAATTGGGGGTCCTATATGGAGTATTTAACTGTTGTATTGGTCACTCTGCTACTTGTTCAACTGGTACACCCATCATGTTGGATGCTTCAGAGGCTCAGAAGAATAGGCCACAAGGTAACCTTCCCAGATGACCTTGGGAAATACTCAGCATCTTCTTCACTCTTCCCCACATGTCTGAAGGAATTGTCACCCGATGCAGGTTGGAAATAAGTGTTCACCTCAAAGGAGGCATGTGCGAAGAGTTTTGGTGCTCTGTTTCAATGTAATATTAACCAAGTTCTAGTCCACTGTTCTTCACAACATTTCAGAGACTAGCCTGATTATGACAGGGCTGGACCAAGAATAAGAAGACTCACTAGAACCTCTCTGAAGAAACAGTTGTAAAGCTAGACTGGGAAATAGCATTTGGTTTAGTGACTTTGTGTTCTTTTAGTCATAGTAAAATTATTTACAATGCCACAAATAATTGGTTGCTCTTCAAAAACATAAACAAACATGTAAATTAATATTCAGTTCTAATGGCTTAGATTTTCAGATATAACATTTTCTCATAATCCAGAACTGGGCTTATCACATCTGGCTTACCAGATCTTCTCTTTGCCATTGCATTATTCTGACTATAGTAGAGCTCTTCTGACTCTACACAACCAGCTGAGGTAAGATTAAGCTGATACAGTACAGATGTTATCACATTTTTTAATTTGAGGATTATCCAAAATGTTTATATTTTATATACAGCATGTTGTGTTGAAGGACTTGTGAACTTAAGTCTATACAAGCAGACTAATGGATTCAGAATATAAGTGTATTCCATTTAAGGGACACATAATAACACATCTTAAATGTTTTCAATAAAAGTGATGTTATTTTCTTTATTATCATACTTGACTAATGTTCACAAAGCATTTTTAATATGCCATAGTGTTATAGAAGGCGCTAGTTGCTTTTTGCCTAGCTTTCCCCACCCCAGAATCTATCAAAAAAAAGGATTAAATTTCTTATCTAAACACTTTCATAGAATGTTCCAAAAGTTGGTGCTCACAGGTAGTACCACATATGCATACATACACAAATACATGCATACATACATACATACATACATACATATATACATACGTGTGTGTGTGTGTGTGTGTGTGTGTATTATTGAGGCTCAATCCCAAGGCTTTGTACATGCTAGGCATGTGCTCTTCTACTGAGCTACATCTTCAGTACCCATTTGATTCTTTGAAGAATGTATCACTGTGATATGTTTACCCTGGTGTTAAATCATATTTAAAATGCACCAATGAAATGCTTATCTGAAAAATATCACCTAATCAATTCTCTTTAAAGTAGCAAGCCCTTATTTTATTTTCTACAACAATTTAAACTTATGCAAAGGCATTTAAACCACAAACTTCCTTCAAGTTTTCACAACAGCTAGAGGCAATGGAAGTCAAGTAGGGTTATCCTATTGACTAATTCAGTGGCTTCCACGTCCAGTCCAAACTTTGACCAGATCCTTTTTCATCCACAAACTTGTTTAAACTCCTCCTGAATCTGCATCTAATGCTCTTTTAAAGTGAATAGCCATTTGCCATTATTTGCCTTATCAGAAAATATTTTTGTGATTTAGTGTGTGCTTCTATGCCCAGAGCTGTGGGGTCACAAGGTAAAGGTCTACTGTGATCAAATGCCACAAACATTTCCCAAAAGTGCAAAAGGTATTTGACTGTTACATAACAACCAAAGAAATTTCATATCTGAGACTATCCACTACCTACTAAGTGTCTTGGAGGACGATTCTGGCATAGCGTTAGATGAGACTGTAGCTGGAAAAACTGCATAAGCGTACGTGGAAATAAATTACCCTCTGGTGATCACATGTTTGCTTTTTAAATGCTCTTAATAAGTACAATTGTCATACAATTACAAATCATTTGTGGTTAATGTAAAGCAAAATATTTCCCTGGTCGTGTGAACAGCCACACAACTGAGAGATGTGCACACTGCAAGGTCACCCATCTCCAGAAGACTCCCCTTCCAGTTACTCCATCCCGCAATCCTTTAAGACATCAGCGGTTAGCGGTTCCCTTTTAAGACCCGGGTATGTCTGAGTGGATGGGTCTTCATCACACACCTGCAATCTTCCTGTGTTCATGCCAACATTCTAACTTTCATCCTAGCAGAGCTGCGCGTGGATTTGGTTGTGGGAGGATGAAATGACCTCATTTGCCAATCAGTCCCAGTGGGTGAAGAGAGGTGGAAGGTCAAAATAATTATCAATGGTTCTACAGTGCTTTGACTCTTATGGCCTAATTACACAGTAGTCACTTATCTGAAGTAATATCTTCTGCAGTTTCAAATACATGCAGTGAACTGAGGTCTGAAGAGACTACATAGAAGATCTTAGACATTCATAATAAGATTTTAATTGTATGCCATTCTGAGTTGACTAATGGGATCTCATGCTCTCCTACTCCTTCACTACAAAACATAAACCTTTGCTCGGCATGCCCACACTGTATATGCTGCCAGCCTGTTGGGCAATCAGTGCCTGTCATGGTTAGCATATCACATCACAGCACCTGTGTTCAAGTAACACCTATTTTGCTCAACAATGGCAGCAAACACAAAGGAGTGATACTGGAAATTTGGACATGCCAGAGAGAAGCCATGAAGTACTTCCCGGAAGTGAAAAGGTGAGAGCTTGTCTTTCAAAGGGAAAGAGAAAAGAAAATCATATAGCGAGGCTGCTAAAACTACAGTAACATCTCTGTGGAACTGTGAAGAAGGAAAACATTGGTGCCAATTTTGCTGTTCTGCTTCAAACTGCATGAGTTAAAGCCACAACCATGATAAGTGAGTAAGTACAGTGGAAAAAGCATTACATTCCTACATTTATTTGTTGTTCGAATCTAAGATGGTCTTATAATAAAAAAAAAAAAAAAAAACCCAGAGCCAGATATCAGGGTGCAAGCTGAAAGATCAGAGAAGCAGAGTAGGCCACAGCAACCACTTATTACCTCACCAACTCCACAAATTCTCAGACTGAAAGCCTCTGAGTCCTCACCTCAAAGGACCTCAGCTAAACTGCTTTAGTTCCTGTCTCCTCATACCTTATATACTTTTCTCTGCCCTGTTGTCACTTCCTGGGATTAAAGGAGTGTGTGCTTCCCAGTACTGGGATTAAAGGCGTGTGCCACCACTGCCTGGCTCTGTTTCTAGTGTGGCCTTGAACTCACAGAGAACAGAGGATCTCTGCCTCACAAGTGAGAGGATTAAGGGTGTGTGCCACCACTGTTTGGCCTCTATGTCTAATTTAGTGGCTGGCTATGTCCTCTGATCCTCAGGCAAGTTTATTAGGCTGCACAGTATATCACCACGTTTATTTATGTATTATTCATGTATTTACAAGAAAAATTATATAGATACACACACTATTTAGTAAGTATTTGGAGGAAGCAGAGTATTCACTAACCTAGTAAGTGTCTTGGAAGAAGATTTTGACCTGTTCTTAGGTAAAACTGCAGCAAGAAAAACTTTATAAGCATATATGAAAATACATACACACACACACACACACACACAAAATCTTCTAGGATTTGATCTAATGTATTAAGAACATTTTTAGATGCTATTTGGATCATTTGAAATAGTAAAAACAAATAAATAGAGGGAGTGCATCATGAAAAAGAGTTGAAGTCTAAATAAAAAAGCCATCCTAGATTGTGTAAATCTGTAATCCCAGTCATTTGTGAGTCTGAGGCAGGAGAATCACAAATTCCATGCTGCCTGGGCAACTTGGCAAGATCCTGAATCAACCTAGAAAGTAAATAGGGCTGGAGATATATCCCTGGTAGTGAAGTGCTTGCCCAGTATATACAAGGCACTAGACTCAATCCCATTACCACAAAAAGTAAAAAAAACAAAACAAAACAAAACAAAAAAACTAGTAAAGTCAAATCAAAGTAAATGTATATTCCAATGAGAATATAAATCCCAAAGGACATGGCTAGAGTTGGTAAACATCTACCAATTGCAAGATACAGTGTTACTCAACCATTCAATCTTCTGCCTTCTCTGAGTTTCCCACAGAGGGTAGTAGGTTACAAGTGTGATCATAGTATGAAGCAGATTTCAACAGCCAGACAGCAAGGGCCAGCTCCCTTTATGTATATATTTATGGTTTTATTATTGTTTTGCAGTTTGGGGGATTAAGCCCAGCACCTTAAGCATGAACACTCTATGACTAACCTAAACGCTATATTTACAACTTTATTTCAAACATAGTAATAAAACACACCATTTGACAAGTTTTCTACATATTTTCCTATCTTGACCCAACAGAGCACTCCCATTTGCTATTTAGAACCAATTGTGAATATAATTTTAGGGGAGGAAGAGATGGTTCAGCATTTAAGAACGCTGGCTGTTTTTCCAGAGGACCCAGGTTTGATTCCCAGTGCTCACATGGCACCTTCTAGTCATCAGTAACTCCAGTTCTCTCAGGGAACACCCTCTTCTAACCTCTTCAGGTACCAGGCATGCCCATGGTACACAGACATACATGCAGGCAAAACACACCCATACCAATACAAAAGTATAATTTTAATGCTTCTTACCTATATAATCTTTTTGCTTCAGGTTCTTTTTGTTTGTTTGTTTCTATATTTTGTTTATAATTGTTGTAGTTGATTTGAAACAGGGTCTCTTGTGGCCCAGGCTGGCTTTGAACTTGCTATATAGCCAAAGATGACTTTGGATTTCTGATAGTTCTGCTTCTACCTCCCAAGGGCTGGGATTACAGGTGTGTGCCACCATACCAAAAATTGCATTTTTTTAAAAAATTACAAATAATGCTTTATGAGTATCTTTTGTTTTTAAAAAAAGTATCTGAATATAATTGTATATGCATTATTTATATTATTGTTTCCTCTGATTAACAGAAGACAGTTTGTGCCAGAGGAAAGATCTGGAGTAGTACACCCTGCTTTGTCTGGGCCTCTGGATAACACAGTACTTTGAAATGATTTGTACAGCATGATGCTGGTTCAGACCTTTGATGCATGTGAATATGACCCTGTATACACTGAAGCCACATCTGTACCATTGTTTTTTTTTTTTTTTAAGAGAAACAGGATGGAAGCACTCTGATGAAATGTTAATATCTCAGTGTGGAAGTCAGCCATACCATTCTTTGTAATTTCCTCTTCCCTTTCCAGTTTTTCAAAGTGCAAAGAAAAGAAGGGAAGATAATGGGGGAACTTTAGGCTTAGACACGTAAAACAGCAACAGACAAGCAGAGAGCTCAGGAGACCATGCAGAGGATGTCTGCTCCTGGCAGGAAGCAGCTCGTTCTGGGAGAGCACAGATTCCCTGCCTGGAAATATCTTAAAACTCAGTAGCTGGTTAAACGAGTTTTGGCTACAACTACGTAGCATTTCGCCTTTGCTTTTATTATCTTTATTATTTCACGCGTTAAGAACCAGTGCCAGAGTTTTCTAGAATTCATGTCTAGCTTTATTCAGTTTCCTAGAGCTTTCAAAAACTGCATCTGGCCACCTACACACAAGGCTCCACCCACTACTGAGAAAACGACCTGTAAATGTGGGTGGGGTATTGGTTTCGTTGTACTTTTTTTAAAGATTGAAAAAGTTTCTAACTCGAAACTGTCATTGTCCATAAAACTGAAAGCTGACAAACCAAAACCACTTTTAAAGTTCTCTCTCATTCAACCCCGGATGAACAACACTTCTGATATCCCAGACTCTCCTTAAACGCTGGGGAGATAGGAGTCCACACCACGGGCACTGGAAGCGGTGCTGGCCTTCATGCACGCTAGGCATGCACTCTCCCAACCGAGCTGCACCCTCCTCCTCCATTCCTTTTCAAACTGGAGGCCCCTAGGAGGGCGTGTTCAAACTGGAAGGAAACTAAATTTTCAGGACGGCAAGGGAGACACCCTGTGGCCCACCGAAGGAAATGTGCCTGTCGCCTTACATTGTTCTAAACAGCAAGGTGCTTAAGTCCCTTTAGTCACTCACTGAAGGATGGGAGCAGGGATTCGGGTGGCAGTACGAAAGCTTCGGGAGAGGGACCCTCACACGCCGGCGTTCTCAAGGGCAAGGACTTAAACATGAACTTAACACGCTTGGACTTACACACCAGGACGAAGTAGACCAGCCAAAGAAGACTTTGGCCCGGGACGACCGCGGGTAGGCGGGAAGTGCGCAAGCGCGCAGCCTCCCCGGCGGGTTCCGCGCAGGCGCGTGAGGGAGGCGGGGGAGATGCGATGTCAGATGGGTCGTCCCGGGCCGAGAGGGCGCCCGGCCGCTCTGCGTTCGCCCGGGGACCGGCCATGGTGTTGCGAGGCGTCAGGGTGGTGGAGCTGGCGGGCCTGGCCCCGGGGCCGTTCTGCGGGATGGTCCTGGCGGACTTCGGAGCTCGGGTGGTGCGCGTCGACCGGTTGGGCTCGGTGGGCGACGTGAGCCTCCTGGCCCGGGGCAAGCGCTCGCTGCTGCTGGACCTGAAGCGGCCGCAGGGAGCCGCGGTGCTGCGGCGCATGTGCGCACGCGCGGACGTGCTGCTGGATCCCTTCCGCAGCGGTGAGCCGCGGTCACCGGGGGCTCTCGCCTGGCTCGTGACTCCAACCTTCTCTGACTCCTTAGGCTTTTAATTTGCTTGATTCCCCCCCTCCCCCAGCACTCTTCTACATTTGCCTTTATTAATTATTTGGGGGGTTGGGGGGGCACTTGAACCGTATGAGAATCTCGTGCAAGAGATAGGTTGGAAAACTTGACATTGGAATATAGCCACTGACCCTTTGATATGTTCTATGCTCTAAAGCGACCCACAGACCATGCTAACCTGCCCCTAAATGATGGTATTCCCAAACTCCAGCTTCAAGATCACTTCGTTTACTATGGGCCGTGCAAAAACACTGTTTTCAGGCGCTGTAGACAGTGTTCGAGCTGTAGACTTGCATGCTTGGTGACATACACCTACCTCCACCGGGCCGTCCATAGGCTTTCGTAACTGTCACAAACCCTGAACCAAGTCTTTCTCTGTCTGTTTAAAAATGGTGTTTCCTCCTGTATTAGCCCAGAGCATCCCATGCGCCTGCGTTTTCGTCAGTCACTGATTTTAGCCACCCTTGCTCTTTACTGGCATTGTCCCCTGGTAGATACCAGGAAGCCAGTAAGTTTGACAGTGAATGGGATGAGAATGGGGCACCAGGCGTATTTGCATGTAATTTTTAGTCCTCACAGACGTCTCTGACGACAGTAATGGTGACATTAAGGATTATATCTCAACGTAAAAATGCCCCATTTGAAGATGAGGGTGGTTCAGTGTGGTTAAGTAGTGTCTCCAAATGACTCTTATATTATGACAACTTTCACCAAAATTACAACGGATAGTGTTAGTGTTACTTGTGGGGGTGCACTCTTATTTGCCCTGTAGAAGGAATTCTCCCAGTCTTTGACTCTTGCTCTCTTTAAAAACAATAAACCATAAAACAATTGTTTACTTTTCTCTAAAGGGGTCATGGAGAAACTCCAGCTTGGCCCAGCCACTCTATTGCAGGACAATCCAAAGCTCATCTATGCCAGGCTGAGTGGATTTGGCCAGTCGGGAAGTTTCTCCAAGGCAGCTGGCCATGACATCAACTATTTGGCTTTGTCGGGTATGTTGGAACATGCTTTTCTAAAACACTTTGAATTGGCTCCAAAATCAGGAAGTGCAGTTACATTGACTGACAAGGATTCAAAATATATCATGTGTTTATTATGTGTAAGTGTGTAGGTATGTGAATATAAGTGCACATGCTTCTAGAGACCAGAAGAGGGTCCTGGGTCACCTGGAGCTGGAGTCATGGGTATTTGTTGTGAGCGATGTTATGCTGGGAAGTGAACTTGGGTCCTCTGCAAAAGCAGTACATAGTCTGGATGACTGAGCCATCCCTCCAGCCCCCCAGCCCTGATTAACAAGAAGTTTAAAATGTAAAGCTATAAATACTTACTGGAACTGACAAAGAGAACATAGTTGTTAAAAACAGATTGATTTGAACTGCCTTTCTTAAGCTCTACCTGCATGCCCCCCCCCCCAACTCATTGGATGGGTAGTAATCACTAGTAGCACCTGTTTTCTACAGTTGGGAAGTCAGTTTTCAGAAGGGCCCCTACTGGGAATGAGGAGCAAGGTAAGAAGATGGGTGGTCACTCCACATACTGGGAGAGTTGATTCAGTTTGATTGTGACTTTCCCTCACCAAGAATCATTTTGAGCCATCGTTTCTGACTTCTGTGAGCACTGCTAAGCCCACAGTTCCAGGTCTCACGATCACTGTTAGAATGTGCCTGTGAGAACGTGTTTTAGGATGGCCTGACTCTATGATGTCTAAGAACGGTGTGTTGCTGATGGAAACAAAGCTCCTACTTTCTGTGAGAAGATATTTAGAGGTTGAGGGGGAAGTGAGGATAATACTGGCTTTTCTCATCTTTTCAAAACTTAATTCCTGTTCCTTTTGTGTATGATTATTTTCTTACATCTCTTTTTAATAAAAGTGTATTATATTGCTTTAAAGCCAGGAAACAATTTGACAGTAATTATTTTCTCTCTAAAACTTAGTAAGTGAAAACTTTAATAAAGTATTAAAAATGTCAGTTGGGATGATATTTTATCTATCTATCTATCTATCTATCTATCTTATCTATCTATCCTATCTTTTCTATCTATCTATCCTATCTTATCTATCTATCCTATCTTATCCATCTATCTATCCTATCTTATCTATCTATCTATCCTATCTATCTATCTATCCTATCTTATCTATCTATCCTATCTTATCTATCTATCCTATCTTATCTATCTTATCTATCTATCTATCTATCTATCTATCTATCTATCTATCTATCTATCTAATTTTGCTCCGGGAGAGTTCACTGTATAGCCCAGGTCTAGAAATCCACATCTGCTTTCCTCAGTCGACTGAGTGCTGGAGTTACAGCTGTGTGCCACCCCACTTGGCATTAGGAAAATTTAGTAGAGAGGAAACGTTGAAGCAAATGGAGCCTATCTTGAGGGAACGCTTGTTTGTAAGTAGACTAAATAGGTTCATAGTTTGAAGAGCACTGTGTACCATTTTCTTTCACTTGGGTCAATGACTATAATAACAATTGGTTGTCCAAGACGCTCACGTCTTTATTTAAAGGTGCATTCAATGTGTCGTCCATGGTGCAGGCGTTCTGTCCAAGATTGGCAGAAGTGGTGAGAACCCATACCCACCGTTGAATCTCCTGGCTGACTTTGGCGGTGGTGGCCTCATGTGCACACTAGGCATCGTGCTTGCTCTCTTCGAACGCACACGTTCCGGCCAAGGTCAGGTCATTGACGCGAACATGGTGAGTATTAATTGGGTGGGGGAGGTGGGAGTGGTAGGGCTGCCATATGATGTATGATGGCCTCAAAACTTTCTGAACAAGACAAGAAATAAATAAGGTTTAATATTGGAATTCAAGTCACCAAAGAGGTGTTGTTTTGTTTCTTTGTTGTTGGTTTTTTTTTTTTTGTTTGTGTGTTTGTTTTGTTTTGTTTCTGACAGGGTCTCTCTATATAGCCCTTGCTGTGCTGGAACTCATGGAGATCCACCAACCTCTGTCTCTTGTATGCAGGAATTTAAATATGTGAGCCACCATGCCTGACAAGAGATATTTTTCTTTGAAATAGCCCCACCCTTTTGTATGCGTTAGAATGCCGTATCGAAGCCGTCTGTGGAGTCAGCACTCTAAATGTGATTCGTTTATTTATTTATTTATTTTGTGTGAGCATGTAAGAGTATGTCTGGAGGTCAGAGGACAACTGGTGAGAGTCAGTGCCCCCCTTCACCATGGGGCTCGGAGCACTGAACTCAGGGTGTCGGCCATGGCCGTGGGCACCCTCCCTGCCCTGCTCAGCCTGTCTTCCGGTGTGCTCTGCACTTTTCAAAACTCACCCAATTGCTGTGCTGTATCTCAACATTTTCCTCCCATCTTTTGTGGTTAAAATAGAGTTGCCAAGTAATCATCCTTCAAAACTGAGCTGCAGAGGTGGTTCCCCAGCCAGTGGAGTCGGTCCTTAGAGGTGCTAAGGATGGTGGGCCTTCCTGTCCAGACTTCCTGCTGCATTTCTCAGGAGATGCTTCAGTTTCTTGTTTCTCGGTGTTCACTGCTGTATATGAGCACTCACCCCTTCCTGATTTCTGTCTTCAGTCTAGAAGAGTGTACCATTTCCCCTGTTCTCTGCTGGGGTATGTTTCAAGAGTCCCATTGGGTGCAAGAAACTGAAGATAATTCTGAACTTTATCTTACTCTATTTTCCCCAGAAACACCTGCATACAAAATTTAAAAATTAGACACAGTAAGAGATTAACACAACACTAAAAATAGAACAGTATAAAATATGTACT